GCCAGCTCCATGGACGCTCTGACCCAGGCCTACTCAGGGATGCAGCAGTACACAGCCTCCGCACTGCCCTCCCTCTACAGCCAGTCGGTCCTGCAGCAGAGCCTCGCTGGCAGCCAGAAGGAAGGTAGGAAGATCTTCATGAAGCCGCCCGCACTGGCGTCTAGGGCTGTCACTTTATATCCCGCACTGTGAATAATCCGCGAGTCATGCAAAATGTCCGAACTCTGGAAGAGCAGCAAGCGTGGAGCACAAAATGTCCGAACTCTGGAAGAGCAGCGTATCGACGGGAACGGTTACATTTGCTGAGAGATGCAGAGTAAAGCAGAGAAAATGTCATGGTCACACGTACGGCTCAAAGACAAACATTCATTTCAAAGAAGATTTAAAAAAAAAAAATTTCATTCAAACGTTTCATCGGTCGTAGTTGCAGTGAACCATTTGTAATTGAGCATCTGTTTGGTTTTTTTTTTTTTATAAAATGGAGTAGGACCAGAGGGCGCCAACCTGTTCATCTACCACCTGCCACAGGAGTTTGGAGACCAGGACCTCCTGCAGATGTTCATGCCTTTTGGAAACATGGTCTCAGCCAAAGTCTTCATCGACAAACAGACCAATCTGAGCAAGTGCTTTGGTGAGTGCGACGTTGCCGCCGCTTCTCGTGGCACTTCCTGTTGAGTTGGTTTCACGCGTTTGTTCAAAAATTGTCTTTTTTTTTTTGAAACTTCAATAACATTTTTTCACTTTTTTACTTCCAGGGTTCGTCAGCTATGACAATCCTGTGTCTGCGCAGGCTGCCATCCAGGCCATGAATGGTTTCCAGATCGGGATGAAGAGGCTGAAGGTGCAGCTGAAGCGCTCCAAGAACGACAGCAAACCCTACTGATCCTAGCCCCGGGGCTGTTCCCCTCCCCAGCTATAATGCTAGCACTGCTAGGGTAAGTTCACCCTCCAGCCAAGGTCACCACAGCAGAGACTCAGTGGGGCAGGGGGGAAAAAAGGAGGCCACCACAGGAGGGAGACTTACACCTAAAATTACTGCAATGATCATTCCACATTTTACTGTATTTCATTACTGCGTTTGCTCATGTACTTTGGATCTGATGAAATATTTGAACGTGTACAATTATTTATGAATATCACTGGAGTTCGTTTTTTTTTTTTTTTGGAGGTATTTTGTCTGTATTAAGTGGAGCGCACCAGGTGTTTCCATACCATTTCATTGCCTTCAGGTCAAGTTTTAAGACAGGTTGACTAAGGATCAGTCGTGCGTGCGTGCGTGTTGCTGGGCTTGAAGCCCAAGGCCACGTGAAACCCAAAGCTTCAACCTTGTGTTTGGCTGTTTACTTAAAAGTCCGCCTCGTTTAATACCATCCTTCATACTCAATTCATCTGTCTTTGTTCCTCGTCTGCTGACCCCCCCTCATATCGTTACCTCAGCCAGTTGTGGGCTAGGCTACCTCTGTTTCTTTATCTCCGCTCTTCTCCAGTCATTCCATCCATCCGTTCCCTAGGTGGGGCTGTCACTTCATCCAAACTTCAAGTAATAGTAGATTTTTTTAGTTGACACCCAGGACCCTCAGCGCTCCGGCAGGTCACATGTCCCCTTCAGCTAGAAGCACAAAAAAAAAATTCACATGCTAGTGCTAATGTTTTTTTCTGTCATTTATTAAGTGCGAATTCTGCTAAAAAAAAACCACGTGTTAGCGTGACTTACCTGCATGTATATTAGTCAAGCACAGGCACAGAGGCATTAAAGATCTGGTGAGTGACACCGGAGTGAGTTAGTGGTACTTTTTACCTGATCTGGGAGTCGGCTGTAACAGGACGACTTCTTATTGGTTGCCGACGCCAAAACTATTACTCTGCCAAATTGGACTTTTTTTTTCCATGGGCACAGAGGCATTCAAATGTGATAAGTTAATAAAAAAGGCAGTTTCTGGCTTTCTGGTAAATCTCTTCAAATCCAGATTATCCCACATTTTAGTTTATATGTTGTCTCTTTTTTTTTTTAATCACTTAAGAGGCAGAGTTTTGTGTACGAGTTCTGCCGAAGTGTGCCAATGACATGCTTCCCTTTAGCAGACCTAGAGGCATTAACAGTTAATAAGCAGCAGTAGACCAGCAGATTATTCCTTGTTTTATAGAAGACAAACTTCAACTCTTAAAAAAAAAAAAAAAAAAGCTGCCATTTTGAACCTTTATCTTTTCTTCTCCCAGGAGGACTCATTAACTTGACAGCACAAAGGCCACTCAGCATAACTGTTCCCTCAAGCTTACAGGTTCTCAGGTTGAGCTATAGTTAGAGTTCCCTCTGCTGGATCAAGCTGCTACTGCGCCTGACGGTCAAGCGTGAACTTTCACAAGATTTGTTTGGATTTCTTTCCCAATTTTTGGATGACCAGTGACAGCTCTAAGTCCTAATCCTTACTAAAGGGGACTGGGTCTAGATGGACGTCCTCGGGTGCCAAGTGTACAGTGCATGTTAGAGTCTCTGCCATGTGTCCTAGTGATGTCACTTCCTTAAATCTGTCTACTGTTTTGTGTGTCGGAAGGGGTTTTGGGAGGACAGGGATGTGTTGACCACACTCGTCTCGTACTTTCATGTGGTGACTGGCATTATTTTTGTTGTTGTGTTTTGTTTTTGTTGTGCCTCATGGCTAAACAGTTCTTGTGCCGTGCCCCTAACTTTTTCTTCTCTCCTCTTTGTCTCTCTCTCTGTGTTCCTTTTGTGTTTTTGTGTCTTTTTTTTTTTAGAACAAATCTCCATGCCTGTTTGCTCATCATTAGCCTAGCATGTCTTCATGATGTTGAAAGCCAAGCCAAACTCCTGGCCTCATCATCCCACCATTGTCTGTGATGTCTCTCTAAGCTCGTCTGACCAATACCTGGCCACCCACTGACCCTTGACCTTAGCTCAACCTGATTTAATTTCTCTTCTGGTTTTTCTTTCCTGCATGTGTATTTTTGTTGTTGTTTTTCAATGTATAGAAATGTGATAAATGGGAGAGAGGTCAAGCAAATCAATGTGAAACTTAACTTTTGTTGAATCTGGTGCATCTATAGTAGGGTGAACCCACAGCTACATCAGCCATGCAAGTGTAGCCACCCTGAATTGTTTTTTTTTTTTTTTAATTTTGTTTTTTTTTTTTTTTTTTTTTTTTTTTTTTTTTTCCTCTTTGCGTTTGCTGCTTTGTGTTAATTTTTTTCTTTCTTTTACCTCTCTCAGTAAACTTCACTTGAAAGTTGAATACAGGGATTGGCACACAGCCGTGCTATTTGGTGCCATTAGCAATAGGTTGGCTTCTTAAAAACAAAAAATATATATATAATACCATGCTCAAAACCACTTTCCAACTCTTTTGAAAGTTTGACCAGTTAATAAAAAAAACAACCCTCAGTGCTCTGTAATGATCTTTACACTTTCTGGGCAGCATCAAGATTTACACCCAGTCTATATGAATCTATATGTATACTCTGTCTTGTCACTTACAAAAATATCCAGTGTATTTGCTTTTTTTTTTTTCCTTTTCTTTTCTTTTTTTTTTCTTCCTTTTTTTTAAACTATTGATGGCACAATAACAGGTACATTTGCTCTGCCGAGAGAAATGACTACCTACATGAGTCGACTTTTTTAGAACTGATTCACAAATAGACAATCTGTGGTTTAAATGCACACTTAGATTACCTATATTTTATACCATTAAAAACTATAGAAGTTTAACTAACAGAACCCAGGCAAAACGTTGGGTTTTTTGTAGATTATGTTGTAATGTCATCTGTGTCAGGGGCGGGGGAGGGGTGGGAGTGTCTTCAGTGTATTACATTTTTTGAAGAGGACTGATCATCATGACCGTTTGAGGGTCATTTCTGTTAGAATAATAATAAAAAAAAAAATACACACATACAATTCCTCAACATTAATTGTAATTTCACCTTTTTGGGCAAAAGTACTTTTTTTTTTTTTTTTAAAAATAGTCACACTGAATATGTAGGCTATTTTTCCTGTGTTTAAGAGAGAAAAAAAAAACAAAGAAAAAAATTAGTGTTGAATTTTCATGGTACGTTTTGTTGAATTTTGTGAATTTTTTCAATAATTTAATTCATGGATGCTTCACCTCGGTTTAGTTTTGGATGCCTCATGTCGAACGATGTTTTACAGTGTCTGTAAATTACGGATGCCAGACAATTCGTCAATTTTCTTTATTATTTTATTTCTTAAAAGTGCCCATGTGTCAAAGTTGGTGTTTTTGATTTTATTTCTTTTTGGTGTGATGTGACCTGGTTTTTTTTCAGCAACACTTGCACAGTGAATCATTTTCGACACACACACACACACACACAACACAGCGCAACATTTCATTGTAAACGTGGGAGCCCCTGAAGGAAGAGATCAATCGAAACACACTTGTATTTCACACAAGAATGGGACAAAGCCTTTTAGTGGGAGGAGTGAAGTCGTGGAGGTTGGACTGGAAGTGTCGCTGCCGGTTGTTGATGTCGAAGGGAAGCTACGGAGGAACTATACTCGTTGATTTAGTAAATGTTTTTATAAAGAATATCCGATCTGCTGCCACCTACAGGTCAATTTAACGTTAAGTCACCTCAGTATAATCACACTTAGAAGAAAACGGAAGACTTAACCAATTATGGAGAAACAACATCGCTCCAGTCCAGCTCTGTTTTTGGACAATCCATTGATCCATTAAACATGAACGTGGTTTTTTTTGTTTTCAGTCTGTGAGAAGTCGCTGCCTTTTTTTTTTAGTAATGATTTCCTTTTGGTCACATTTAAACCAGCAGAGCACTTTCCATTTACAACTTCCACTGGGTCACTTTGAACAACTTGAAGACTGTGTCACATTCTGACGTCCAGCCCGCTGACACTTAACGCAGCCAAGTGGGCGCTCTGCTCTCTTTTTTGTTTGTTTGTTTGTTTTTTAAGACACAAACACAACTACTATTTATAGCCGTCTCTTGCTGACGTCTCAGCCGTACACCGCAGTATACACAGCACATTACTACCACAAAGTCCACCACGATAGTGTTGGTTTACAAAAAAAAAAACAAAAACATTCCATTCTTTCTTGTTTGTTCTTTTCCGCACAGGTGTTTACACTTTTTTATCAGGGTGGTGTTTTGTCTGTTACTACAACCCTGGGTTCCCTAAAAAAACTGCGGTACCTGATGGCGCCTAAAGAGTTGTCAACTCAGGGGTTTTTTTATGTGTGGAAAAGCAAAACATAAACACAAACACACACACACACGTGAGTTATGACACAAATGCACAATCGTCACATTTGGAGATTTTTTTTTTTGTTGTTGTTTTTTTTTAAGTTTTCCTCGAAATACACAAAGTAACAGAAAGGTACCAAATTCAAAACACGGCTCAAGCGACGTGTCACTTTTTGTAAGGAAAACGTTTAAGCACAATCGTGGAAGCCGACAACTTCTTTTGCAGAGCGTTGTGTGTACGTGTGTGGTTACGATCCCCAAAAAAGGTGCAGGTACCACTGATTTCACTTTTTAATATGGGCATGTGCTTTTTACAGTGTGTTTTTTCTATCCAAATGCAATACAATGTTCAAAGTGCCATATATGCGTCTAGAAACTGCCTACACCTCCTTAATTATTAGGCCTTGTTTTAGAGATTGCTGCAAATTTCCTCTTTTTTTTTTTTTTTCCAGTGTCATTAAAGCTTGTCACCTGCTGGTGTCTCCTTCTCTACTCCTCAGTGTGCTTTCTGTTCAAGAATCATCTTGTAGAAGAACAATAAAGTTCCCTATACATTTGAAGGACGAGTGCGAACACGTGTACCTTAGCACTGGGAGAAACCTTTTTTTTTTTTTTTTTCTTCTTCTGCGTTTTAGAAAATAAATTACGTTGGCAGTGTGTCAAAGCGACGAAAAATGATCTGTGAAAGATGAAATGATTTGCGGGTCTGTGCTGATGTTTGCAGTGTATGTTGACATAAATAAAAAGCACAATGTACAGTCCTCATCAGTCTGAAGAAGAACTCCATTCACTTCAGGGGCTTCCATCACAAATCTGGTTCCAGCTCTAACAATCACTTCTTCTCTGCGTGTTCTCAAGTGCTTTATTCGTTTGATCGTGCGCTAACTTTGCATCTATGGCTATTGTCCTGACCCGAACGATAATAGAAAAAAACCTTTCCTGTGTTTCTTTCCTGTCTGATAATCTCTTCAACTTTGTTCATGTTTCAACCATAATTTGGTGGATGTTTTGTCTTGTCTTGATGAAAGCCAAAGTGGGTGCATCTCGATGTGATCTGTATCATACCGACCGTCGTTCCTCTGTTCAGTCAAAATCTTTTTTTTTTTTTAAATACTGGGTGGGATTTGAAGAAAAAAAAAAAAAAGACCTACACAGGCTTTCCAATTTCTACAACTGGTTGTTAATATGTATTTTGTACCAGTGAAGCTTTTTATATTGGAAATTAAAGGAAAAAAAAAATCTATATTGGAAAAAAAATTGTCTGGCCTCTCAATGTGGCCTCACCTTGACCAGGTCTCAAGTTTTGGCCTCTTGGTGGTTTCAAGCAATTTTTTCTTTTTTTTTTTTTAATTTGAATTCTTTTTCAAAAAGATGCCTGGTTTTTGATTTGACTTGGATCTCTGTGTGTTTCCTCCGCTTCCTTCATTAGTTTGTTTTTTCAGTGGTGGGGGGGGTTGGGATCCAATGACTTGTGGTCGGTTTCATGTTGGTATTTGTGCTGTCCACATACTTTATTGGTCATCAGAATTTCAACGACTTGTGTGGATAATTGTCTTAGTTAAAAGAGTTAACTCTGTTTAGTTTTGAGCCTTGCTTTTTACCTGTGTAGACTTTTCCGTTTGATTTTCCCATAGCGGAGTGTGTAGCTGAAAGACTGTGTTATATTTTGGTCGATGTTTGTTCATGTGTGGTGTGTTTCTTTGCCTCTGTCTCCAAATTAAACCATTTCCCCTAATATGGACTGTGCGTCTCGGTGTGGTGTTTGTCCAGTGTTGTAAAGACGTTTTACAAACCACCCCTCCTCCTCCCCCCGTGTGTCATGTCTCGCTAACTTTGTTTCTCTTCGTTGTGCTTTTCTCACTTCTTTCTGGACAGTCGTCGTTTGTTTACTTCTCTAAGAAAGAAACGTGTGGTCATGCAGTACTAGCATTGCTATGCCATGTTTTACCACATAAGGGCAAAAGTAAAAGGGAACCGTAGGTGAATAATCTGCACTGTCTTCTTCAAAACTGATCTATTAATTAGGCTTTTTCAACCAAAACGTGGTTTATACATAGGCAGCTTGATGTTAGAGAATATTGTTTTTAAAATTACTACTTCTGAAAGCCTGAAAGTCTGACGAACTTGACGAGGACCCCGAACATCTTTGAAGTTCGCTAATCAAAGGAAGGCTCCCGAAAAAAAGATGAGAAGAAAGTTTTGTTTGGAGTTCTTTAAGGAAATCAGTAGAGCAAAACTGGCAGTGAAACAAATTAAATATTAACAATAAAAAGAAGTAACGTCAGTAGCGGGTAATTGCACAGAACTTTGAGAAGGATTACCATGACAGCGGTGAATGACTCAGCCCGATGACGGGAAACTAAAAGCGCATGATTTGATCGGATAAGCCAGTGGAACATATGAGTCTTGGAGATAATACCTGTTTTTGGAAGACAAAATGTAGAGTCACATAACCCAAAGAACACTATCCCATAAAGAAATGCAGTTTATTCCTCTTTTTAAACACTTAATCCTTCCCTGGGTCACAGTTGGCTGAAGTCAATCCCAGCAGTCATTGGGTGAGGGCGTGAGAGTTCAAAAACACTTTCTGTACTAACAGAGAGAGGTAGAGTATGTTGTCATTTTTTAAAATCTAAATCTGTGTCTAAGGTGAGCTGACATTCCAAGCAGATGAACCTGTTTTTTTTCTCCCTGTGCTTTGTGTTGTTTAAGGAGATTGTAACACGACTGTTGAGGGACTTCCAGGAAACAGTGAAGGACAGCAGAGACTTATGTCTGAACAGTGGACAAACTGTTAGGTTTGACTTGATTTTGATTCCATTGTCCTTGTTGAGAATAGATAAAATGTGATAAAAGTCACGTTGACCTTGGGCTAGGCTAATGCTAGCGCCTGAACTAAGTACTTCAACATATGTTGATTAGCTGTTGAAGGATTTTAAAAAAAAAGGAATGTGGAAAAACACATCTTGAACTGTTTACTAAAATAAATGCAAATGCTGTATAGTTACAATTTCTTTACATTATTTAATTTCATTTTGATATCTCAGACATACACCATTTATGTGACATGTTTTTCTAAAACTAATCAGCTTGACTTTTCTTTGTGTCCAACGTTCAACTGCTCTGTCTGTTAATTCACGAACATAAGTTTCATGGCTCTTATACTGTAGTTCTAAAATGAAGAGCCAGAAGAATTTCTTTTGCTGCTCGCTGGAGGATCTGCGTCACACTGTGTCATTGAGGATTTAATGGTCAGTGGTAACAGGTATTAGAAAAATGAAATAAATAACGTAGTAATATTATTTTAGCAGTTTAAAATTAGACTACGAATATGTTAACATTTTTGACCCGAAATGTTGACCAAACATTGTAGAATTAATTTACAAAAATGTAAATAAAAATGGTAAACTATTAGCCGTAACATAAATGGTAAGTAAAATATTTTCTTGAATTTGTCCGCAAAGTTAAACAACAAAAAAAAACATGAAACTGAAGCACAAGAATTGTCCAAATGTCGAGAGTTTAACGAAATTACGCCGGGAATTATTAGAAATTACCTTTATTATTTTACATTCAATAACAAACACTAAATACAATGAAACGCCTCGTTTAACGCTATGTTAATTTAAAAAATAATATTTTTTCGAGAAAAAAACACCAGCCAATAGAATTGCCCCGCCGCGTGTCCTCCTCCAGTCACGTGTCACCGGGTGAAAATGGCCGCCGTCCTGTTGGTGTGAGTGGACTGATATACAGGTTCAAAACTTGACAGAAACCATGGCGGCACTCTTTCTGCTGAAGAGATCACTGAGCAGGCTCTCACCAGGAATCAATGGACAGGTGCTCCGCTGTCAGTACCACACCCAGAGAGGTGTGTACGGATACCGACCCAAACAGAGCGACCGGGACCAGCAGGCGGAGAGACAGCGCATCGCTGCACGTTACCAAGGTCAGTATTGGGTTAATAATGACGTGTGACTTGTGGATACAGTGGTATTAGGCGTCCTGGTGACGACGGTTGCAGTGAGCTTGAAGTGGTCAGGTTTAACGTGATGGTCGTAGCGTTGCGGCCGTAGTTATTTGTAAATCATTTGAAAATGGTCCAGCCGGTCAGCCTAGTGTGACATTTTAAAAGGAACCACAAGGGGGCGCTTTCGCATCCCTGTCATTCAGTACCTGCTCTGTATTGATAGAAAACAACCCCCATTCATTCGTGTATTAATTTGAATTAAGTGGCAGCCAAAGTCTATGTAGTAAAATAGTACATGCTGTAAAGTCTGTGATAGTCAATAAATAAAATAACTTTCATTATTCTTTAAGGCATGTGACTTCTTCTTCTCACCAGGTGGGTGTGCTGTACTGCAGTTGTTATGTCAGTTGAGCACACTGGTAATTTTCTTTTCAGTTTATTCATCCATCAATCTATGTAAAACTAGAACGAGTGATAGATAAATATATATATATAAAGATAGTGTGGCCAAAATGTAGATTTAAAAAAAAGATGAACTCGTCCACAGGATCAAAGATGCACAAGGACTGAAATAGTAACACGGTAATAGATTAACATTAGCCAAAAACAAATTATGTTGCCACAGTTTAGGCTCCATAAACCTAATTAATAACAAAAATATTATATAAAAAATACATGACATAACTCAAGGCCAGGTCTGAAATGACTGTTAAATCAATAGTGCTGGATTTAAGTCCGTTGTCTTGTTGTTGTTGTTTGTGTTGATGATGGTGGTGGTGGTGATGGTGGTTTACTTGTGACATTTCCTCCGTGTTTCGTCTTTGCTCAGATCATGCTCTTGCACACGTGGTGGAGACTTACAGAGCACATGGACACAAGGCTGCTAAAATTAACCCCTTGCTGCCTCAGAAACCTGTCATGGACAGTGTTCCAGAGATCAACATGCTGAGCGGCACCATCAGAGGACAACTCAATACATCAGGTACATGGAAAGCTGTATTTGGTTCGAGGCACCACTAATGCATTCATAATAGTTTTTCATCCAGAAATCAGGTGTAGTGACGTGGCACAGAGTGAGTAGGTTTATTTTTATATAGTAAAAAAGTAAAAAAAAAAACAAAACTAAAAGTTCCATGATAGATACATTTTGCAATTTTTTTTAGATAATGAATTGCTTTTGTTGTTTTGTTTCGTTCTCTTCTCAAATATTCCAAAGCCTGACAGTTAGCTGACTAAATTCTTCTATCACAGTCTCCTTGAAAGTTGTCCAAAGCCAACCAAGCACACACAGACCTACATGAGGTCTGTGTGTGCTTGGTTGATGGCGAGTTAATATGTTTTGGTGCAAATAAAATTAACAAAAGCCTCAATGGTAAAGCTAAATCCACAGAGAACTCACTGAGGCCCTCTGACGCCCTCTAGTGGTTTCTGTATAAGCGAGAGAGCCACAGAAATCCAAAGACTCCACAGTTGGCTCCAGTTTCTTCTTTTGACATTTTATGATTTGACATTCTGGCGATGACGGTCCGGAATGCGGTTTGACGTTGAACCACTGGCCTGTAGTTAAAGGACAGGCTTCGTAATCCGATGATTACAGGTTTGAATCTTGGCACTGCCATCACCGCAGCTTGTTGAGCAAACTTCCCACTCCCACAGTGCTGATTGGCTGGTGTTAACCACTGAGGCGTTTATTGATGGGTTAAATGAAGAGAATAGTGACCCCTTGTGGATAATTCAAGAACTGAATCACTAGTAACCAGATCTTTAGATACATAGACATCTGTGTTGTAGCCAGCGGTGGCCGTACACCGGCCGGTTAATAGGTATCATATTTCATCTAGCTAGCCTAGATTGAGCCTCATATTCCGCAGATGTGACTCCTATAAGGCATGTCATCACACGGCACCATTAACAGTTGGTGAGCTCACTGACCGTGACCGTGCTCTGTCAGGAGTGTAACCCTGACTCACATAATGCGTTTTGCTGATGAAGTAGAGCGATGCCTCAGCCTGTTATTATTTCATCAGTCAGTTTTACACTGATCACCTTTGTCAATCATTTTGTCTGTCACTACTTTCAAAATATTACCGATGGTCAAATAAGGTCATACGGCAAATAGGACCCAGATCATTGTTTAATCCTTAAATGTCTCCTAATTAGATATAGAATAAAGTTTCATTTCATTTTTATTTATACAGGTTGTCTCGTGGAGACATGAGGTGTCGTTCTCAAGAGACAGACGCGCGATAATCAAACTACCATTAGTAGCAGAAAAACATGAAAACAAATCAGTGCAGAAAAATCGACACAGTAACATTCATGAAAACAAATCAGTGCAGAAAAATCGTAACATTTGAAGTACTTCTTTGCTCTTCTACTTCTCTACACATTAGTCTCTACTATATTTCGGACTCTGTGTTTATTTCTTCAGGTCTAAGACACTTTGAAAGGACAGAGGCTTCGCTGGAAGAAGTTCAGTCCTACTTGGAAACAACCTACTGCGGCCACCTGTCCGTGGAGACCAGTCAGCTGAGCAGCCAGGAGGAGAGAGAGTGGTTCGCCGACCGCTTCGAGGAGCTCAAGAAGACAAGTTTCTCTCCGGAGGAGAGGAAGCAGCTGGCCAAGGTCATGCTGGAATCTCAGGTAATTGATCAGAAGACGACCTTTAACGTTTTACTGATTTGGCTTCCGTTAAAATCAGAACCAGTATCAGAAAGAACTCCGTTGCCGCTCGGCTCACCTGGCCTTTGTTTTTTTTCTCACGCACGCATGGAGGAATTTGATCACTTTCTAGCTACAAAGTTCTCCACGGTGAAACGTTACGGAGGCGAAGGCGCAGAGAGCATGATGGGATTTTTCTACGAGCTGTTCAACCAGTCCGCCCACAGTGGTGTCACGGACGTAGTCATCGGCATGCCTCACCGAGGCAGACTGAACCTCCTGACAGGCCTGCTCAAGTTCCCACCAGAGGTTTGACACGAACACAGTCTGTCTGAACGAATAGGGACAAATCATGAACACAGTTGAACTAACACACACTAACACACAATGAAACCTGAGGATGAAAAGCACACACTAACACACAATGAAACCTGAGAATGAAAAAAAAAAGATGGAGGGAACCCAGGTATCCAATCACTTTCCTTTGATTTCAGCTCATGTTCCGTAAGATGCGAGGCCTCAGCGAGTTCCATGACAGCTCACCCGCCATTGGGGACGTGCTCTCCCACCTGACCTCCTCAGTGGAGTTGGATTTCGGAGCTGGACACCTTCTCCATGTGACCATGCTGCCCAACCCTTCTCACCTTGAGGCCATTAACCCTGTAGCTCAGGGCAAAACCCGAGCCAGACAGCAGCTCAGGAAGGAGGGAGACTATTCACCTGAAGAACATGCTCAGCCAGGAGACCAAGTCATCTGCCTGCAGGTAGTGGAGCAAGAGAGAGAGAGAGAGATCTCTAAACAATTTTTTAGCCATTGGTGAAGTATTTATAACTTTAAGGCTTCAAAAATAACCTGCAGTTATTTTGGGACTTCTTTGTGCAGTCGATGCGCCTTATCCATCTTTGAACTTGATAATTCTCACCTGCTGATTGTTGACATTCATATTGAATCAGAGACCAAACGTGGAACCAGAATTTGTGTCTTAACTCCCAGTTATTGTCCGATCCTCCGCAGATCCACGGTGACGGCTCTTTCCCCGGGCAGGGGATCGTTCCAGAAACTCTGACTCTCTCAAATCTCCCTCACTACAGGGTGGGTGGGAGCATCCATCTCATTGTGAACAACCAAGTGGGCTACACCACCCCATCCGAGAGGGCGAGATCCTCCTTGTACTGCAGTGATGTTGGTCAGTGATACTCGGTGACACCACCAGTAGTTTTTTTTTTTTTTTTACAGTTCATGTGATCATCATTTCTGCCTCAGGTAATATGATAAACTGCGCTGTGATCCACGTGAACGGTGACGACGCAGAGGAGGTGCTGCGAGCCACGCGGCTGGCGGTGGAGTACCAAAGGCGTTACAGGAAAGACGTCATCCTAGATCTGGTCTGTTACCGTCAGTGGGGCCACAACGAGCTGGACGAGCCTTTCTTCACCAACCCGGCCATGTACAAGATCATCCGGTTAGTTTCATATGTACTGGTGGATGCTCTTATATTATCACCTTTCTTAACCAAACCTGTTATTAGTATTAGTATTCATCCCCAACATTCTAACCGTCGCATCGCTGTTTGGTTGCAGCGCCCGTCAGAGCGTCCCTGACTCCTACTCGAGTCAACTAATCTCCGAGGGTCTTATGACCGAGGCTGAACGCGATGAGATTAAGTCCAAACACTACGGCATGCTGAACGACAAGCTGGCCAACATGACTGTGTACACCCCCCCGCCCACCAACCTGCAGGGGCGTTGGGGAGATCTGGTCGAGCCCCAGGCCAAAGTGACAACCTGGGACACTGGTGTCCCCATCCCTCTGCTGCAGTTTGTGGGAGCCAAGTCTGTTTCCGTCCCTGAGCAAATCCAACTGCACAGTCATCTCGGAAAAACCCACGTGCAGGTATCGACCCTGTTTTAATTCTAAAGCTAAACGGAGCTCCCGTGTCAATGCTGCGGCCAGTTGACTGTGTTTGGCCTCGTTGTAAACTCAGGCTCGGCTTCAGAAGTTAGAAGAAGGGACCAAACTGGACTGGTCCACGGCAGAAGCCTTGGCTTTTGGCTCTCTTCTGTCTCAAGGTCCAGCAGCAGAAACATTCAATTTTCAAGAGTTAGTCTTTTTGTTTTTGGATGATGGATTTGAATAAAATGTTTTTTTCCCTTGCAGGTTTCAACATTCGAATCAGCGGGCAGGACGTCGGCAGAGGCACATTTAGTCAACGTCACGCCATGTTGGTGTGTCAGGAAACCAATGACATGTTCATCCCACTGAACAACATCAGTCCTCAGCAGACCGGTTTCCTGGAGGTAACGCTGCGTGAATAAAAAAAAAACATACTGTCTGCAGGAACAAGAACCAATCACAACAGTGCTCTCGTGCACTTGTGTACAGGTGTGTAACAGTCCTCTGTCCGAGGAGGCGGTGCTCGGATTTGAGTACGGCATGAGCATCGCACAGCCAATGCTGCTTCCCATCTGGGAAGCTCAGTTTGGAGATTTCTTCAACGGAGCTCAGATCATCTTCGATACCTTCATCTCTGGGTGAATCTTCTTTCAGTTCTTAAAGTTGTTTTTTTTTGTTTTTTTTTCTCACATCATTAGGACTTTGTGTGTTTGAATGCCTGTTAACCAATGGGGGAAACTGCGTCCCCAGGTGAAGCTAAGTGGCTGCTGCAGTGTGGCATGGTGATTCTGCTGCCTCACGGCTACGATGGAGCTGGGCCTGAACACTCTTCGTGTCGCATGGAGCGCTTCCTCCAGGTCTGTTGTCTCTCAATGTCGTGTTTGTATATCCATGTCAGAAGGGCTTTCTCTTAACATGGATGTTTGGGAAAACAACGTGCATCAACTGATAATCATAAATTGTAGCCTTGAATTTACTCAGAACGACTTCATCGATGTGAAACCGGAGCCTGTTTAGTTGAACACAATGCTAGCAGGAAGTGATGAAAGACACGCCTTTCAACCTTGTGGCAAAATTCTGAGTGGTTTAGACCTTTATTCTAAGACAACCTTGTGTATTATAAGCTCTCACCCCTCCCTCCCCACCCCCCCCACCAAATCTGTCCTGCAAACCTTAACTTGAACATGCAGTAAATGTAGTAAAGTGTTACTAATAAATCAACATTTTACATCTGACCCTCAACGTCAGTCATGCGCTCGGGTGAATATTACCTGACCCAAGTTCAAAGCGTTAGTGTTCCTCCCTTATCTACATGATGGTCAATAAAATGATTTTTTGTCCTTATTGTGCTTTAAATGGACATAACAGGGAACAGCGCCACCATAGGCCTTCTCTGTATTGCAGTAGTGCAGTATTCAAATGTAAAACCTAAAGTTCAGATCACCTGAGGTTTCGGCTGATTTGAGGAAGTGTGATGTGAGCTTGTTAGTGTGTGTGTGTGTGTGTGAATGTCACACATGGGTAACTCTAACCAATCAGTGAATGTACTGCAGAAACACGTCGGCTTCGACAGGGCGGATGCACAGACTTTGTAATCACGTCTTCTTTCAAGCTCACAGGAAGCCGGTGCAGCGCTGATTCTACAGTTTACTGCAAAACTAAGAGCAATCTATGGACATTATGGTCCTGATTGAGCGGCGGACAAAAGACAGAGGACGTCAGTCCGTTCACATGCTTCCCCTTTATTCAACAACTTATTACTCACCATATTAGGCACACCCTTACCCGACGTGACGTGTAATGTCTTGTCGTCATGCACCGGTGAGCTGTTACCCAGGTGTGATTCTTCTTTGTTTAGACTTGGACCTCACATACATACATATATATATATATATATGTATATGTATATATAT